CGCCGCCGCCGCCGCCGCCGCCGCGGCCCGTCGCCCCCGGCCCGCCGCCGCTCACCCCCGAGCAGCGCACCGCCGCGCTCATCCGCCTGCTCGTGCTGCTGCAGCAGCGCCGCACGCCGCAGCCGCACCAGGTGAGCCCAGCGTCGCCACGCCGGCTCGGCGCGCTTTCTCATCCCGCTGTTATCCAACTGCCAAATGGCACCTTCTTAGTGATCCACTCGAGCTTAAATGAGAAGCCTAGGAAGCAAAGGCGCAAGTGGTTCCTTATCGGAGAGGATCAGGGATTGTTAGTAATTCCCAACAATTCACATCCTCGAGCTTTTTTCACAACCTCCACTTCAAATAAGGCCGCTTGCCCACGCCGCGGCAGAAGCGCGCGAACGTCAATCATCAGGGCTCTTCGCCGACCCTCAGGCGACAACGGACAAAGGGACCGCAGCAGGTACCTGCTTCGGTCCCTTTGTCCGTCGTCGGCGAAGAGCCCTGATTGACATTCGAGCGCTTCTGCCGCGCCGTGGGAAGCCGCCCTAAGTCAACGTCATTTATGTATAATAGTTAAGTGAATCTTTTCAAGACATAAAGAATGACAAATGACACGCGTAAAAAGGCACAAAATTATATTTTTACATACTCGACAATGAATAAAACTTCAATTTGTACGAAAAAGTGCCTACAATCGGAATTCCAGCTTAAATCTCCAAAAACAAACGTGGGGAGGTCGAGCAAAAGCTTGAGCAATGAGAAAATATGACATTTTTCAAGCAAACTACTTTCTACCAAATATAAACTATAGTTTCCATAAAACTAGTGAAAAAAATCAAAGGGCATAAGTAAGATGTACCAGACACCATCCAAATGAAACTATTGACACCCCCCCCCTTGTTCAATCACTAGGCATCCAAGAGATTCAACACTTCCGTTCTCTATTTTCTTTCAATTCGATTTTTCAATATATTTGAAACGTACATTAATATCATTCACTGGATTAATAAAATTATTTAACTCAACTCGCAGATATTAAAGCTAATGTATTACGTAGTAAGGGGAAAGTTACGTAATGTGGAAAATCAATTTCGAGATTTCAACGGAAATACAAGTTTTGGGGTCCCCTGATAGCGAAAAGGTTTTTTTATTATCAAAACGTCCGTTCGTCTAGTGTATGAAGAACACTGGCGCTTCAACCATGCAAAGGATTTTTTCCAAATTAAAGAAACCCCTGTCCATTTGGCCTCCGTCGAAGCCCAGCCATTTTAAAAATCATTAGTGTTTGAAGGTACCTTACATGAAGCGCCTGGAATATTTTCAAAAGTTTCTCAAAATTGGCTCCAAAATTTTTCTTTAAATTTCTTTTAAAAATAAAGTGCACATATTAGTTTGGAGTATGCCAGACTTTAAAGGCTCTGAATTTACGAAAACTTCAAATGTTTGATCTCTTTCGGGGTCCTCATACAACAAAATTAAAGATGGCGATTTTTCCTTTAAATAAAATTTGTTCTCCATAGTAAGTTCTTTCATTAAGGTCATGTACATGTTTTTTGAAAACTTTTGTAATTCTCCCGCAATATTGCGGGCAATTTGTGCAATTTTAAAAAATTACAAAACCTCAGAATTTCTCAAAAACAGATCCAATTTTTCCTTAAACTTTTGGCAGGGATTAGCTAAATGTACTCTAAAATATGACAAACGCCACATTGCACTATTCTTTTGTTTTTTCAAAGTCACTTTTTTTTCTTCTCTTCCCTTTCTTTTTACTTTTCCCTCGCGTCGTTCATATTTACATTAGCAGCAATTTACTCACATTATTATATGTATGAGTGCATATGCTTTAAATAATGTCATATAAAGCTTTTAAAACTCAACCGTTTTCTGTCAAAACTAGTTCAAAAATTCGCCATTTCGGAGACGCTCAAATGCCATTCTCAAAAACGGCTCTTATTTCTTTCTTCAAACTTTTCGAATGGATAGTGCTGATTGCACTCCTCAATTTGACGTACAGTTCATTTCGGAGTCTTTTTTTCGAAAATTACACAAATATATTTATTATATATATTTTTTATATCTCTCACGCCATTAATATGTGCATTTCCAGAAATTTGTAAACACTATTGTATATGTGAGTTAATGTGTTTCAAATGACTTCCAATGGTTTTACTGTTCTTTAATATTCTTAAAATAATATTTCCGTTCTATTGTTAGTACACAAAAAATTACAAAAATTTCGAAAAAATTATTTTGGGTCGCGATAGATGGCAGCATGCAAGCGTATGTGGCAAGTTCGAATAGCTAGTCGAGACAAAAGGAAATAGAAAATTAAAACAGGAAAGTCTGCGCCATTCTGTAGCACCTCTAGTTTGTTTTTGCTTTTTACACAAGCAGATGGTTAAGAGCATTAAAACAAAACAAGGAAATTCTAATACTCACTCCATCTTATGACTTTAGCCCTTGTAAATCGACTTGTTCCTGAAATGATAAAAACCATTGCATATTTAACCATTCGCGATTTTCACTAAACCTTTTTAGGAGAGTTATACCAAAAGTTCCTCAAAATGCAAGATAAATGAATTGTCGATACATAAACATAAAGGAACAATAACAAATGAAATTTCAGCACATGCCACCACATTCTCCAAAATACAACTTATGACACTGAAAATACAAGTGATAGATTCGAGAAGAGATTTGTAAACTTCTAAAAACTGTATATTACATATCACTCTTCTTTACAAACGAAAGAATAACAGATTTATTCCATGCTCGAAACAAGCATCTATGGCATCCACAGCAGACAGTGTTCAACTTCTTTTAAACTGTGTCTGACCTCTCTGATGTATACCACCGACGTCTACTCTTCTGGGTATTTCTCGAACTTCCATCATTTTTGTACAGATATAAAGCAACATTACCTAGTACACGCAAATAACTAAAACTATTGTGTACAAGAGTTATAGTACACTTATGCAATTTGGTATACATTTACGAGTCTTCTTGTAGTACATATAGGGGGAGCGGGGAAATCAATACACTAACATGAAAATAACGCGATTTTCAAGCCACATAATTGGGATCCAGTCTAACAAATATGTTCAAGAGTGAATATTGTCGATACACCCTCACAGCCTCCACAACATTCGCCCCCCTTGCCAAGCACTGGACACCAAAATATTTATACTCTAATGCTGCGCATCAACAACTGCCTCTCCGGTTCTTCCCAAGGCCGATCGTTGCGAGGGGTCTGGCCACATCTCCTCTGAGATCTGACCATCCTTCGACCCGTTTCTTTCCGCGCGTAACCCCAAATGTTCTCGCTCCTCAGCCGGTCCCTGCGGCCGTGCCGGTGAGCGCTGGTAGCGTAGCAGCGCTGGCGCAGACGCTGGCGCTGCTGCAGGCGGCGCAGTCGCTGCCCGGGGAGGCGCCGGGCGCCGTGGCGAAGCTGCTGGCGCAGCAGCTGCTGGTGGCCCCGCCGCCCGCGCCCCAGGCCCAGGCCCCGGCCCGGCCCGCACCGCCCGCGCGCCTGCCCGTCGCCGCGCTCTACGGCGTCCGCGTGCCGGCGACGTACCGCCCGCCCGCCAAGGCCGCGCTACTCCCCTTGCAGGTAGGCTGCCCGTCGCACGCGTTTGCGCCGCGCTTTGCGTCCACCGCCATGTTCAGGGGTTTGTAACAGATTTAGGGCCGTATTCATAGTCGACACATACGATGAGTAAACGCCTAAGTAATAAGCACTTACATATAAGTGAACCCTTAGGACAGTTGGGTATTCGTAGACCCCACTTATTCGAGAGTCGCCCACAGGCAATATTTTGCTGTATAATATTCGGCAACATTGCTTTATTGGTTACTTGATACGAATCTAAAGGCCGTGTCAATCTTGTTTACAAGTCTGGCAGTTCTTTTAAGCGTATGAATGAATAGCCTCTGGTTTCATCGACTGACTATCGACAGAAACTAAATTGTAAATTTCGTTTCGTTGCTTTGATGCGTTTAGTCCTGTGCGGATAAGTGCAATTGGTTTACCATTTTTTTCGATTTTGCGTCATTAGTAAGAATTTTTATTGCCTACGATATTTGTACAACATATGAAGGGATTTTTATTAACTTTTTAATAATTCTTGATACCAATTCAGATATTTATGTATTGATTCTATAAACTGAGGACTGACTTATTGTACAGAGATCACATATCAACTGAAAAAAAACAAAAACACTTTCACATGATGCATTGTGATCATTCTAAGATAACCTATAAAACATGTTCCTCGTAGGATAACCTACAAAATACACCTTGGTGGCAAGCAATTGAAATAGATAAATTATGTAATTGAAATGATAATGTTGCATGAAATCTGCATGCCATTAGCACTTTTAGGTCTGGTGGTAACCTCTATTCCTCAAGCTCATGTTGTGAGTGAGCTAAGAGACACTAATGTTTACAACTGTATCCTTGTCAAATAGATCTCCCTTTCTTAAATTCTTGTTGCGTATGCATTTCCAATAATTCCAACAACGCATAAAAATCTTTGATGCTATTCCACATTGAAAAATAAGGGTCCACTTAAGGGTACAGATAAGCTCACTTATAAGAATAAGCAAATGCTTAAGCAAGTGACAACTATGAATTGAAAATGCGAACAAGCAAACACTTAAGTGTTCCTCAAAAATAAGTGTCGACTATGAATATAGCCCTTACACACCCTTAATATTTACGAAATTAATGAGTGGTTCCAATGAAAGAATGGATGAATGAATGGTTACAATAAAATGGATGACACACGATTTGTTGGTTAATAATTTTTCGAGGTGGAGTTTGTCACTAGAAATTATGTTATCATGATGGTGTACTTGTGTTTACACTCCACAAACTGAAAATAAATCACCAAAGAAAATTAACCACCTGGATCCAAAGAGAGCAAGATTATGCTATACTGAAACATGTTATAAGCAACTCAGCTATACAATCAAATCATTAGTGACGATTATTTAATGATCAACAATAGTTTATGTGATACAATGAGAATGAAGGGTGAAGATGAAAAAAATGGAAATTACAAACTTTGTTGGTTTACAATTAATTTATTTTCAGTCTTAAGTGAGTAGTACTCAACACATTACGTATGGCAGAAGCTCACTCATACTGCTGTTTTGAAGGAATAGGTCAAAAAGCTTAGTCACTAGCTTTCATAAAGTGCAACTTACCTCTACACTGGATGTTCAAAAAGGGGACCCAAAATTCCAAATTACTAAGCGACTACAAATTGTTACAAAAGGTGTGTTTACTTTTGCAAAATTGATACAGAACACACAAAACAATGACCCAAATGGCCCTTATATCTTTATCTTTCTACTGTAAACAGACCATAGCGTTCCCATCAATATTGGCAAACATGAAGTGAACAATAGTAAGTCAATGACATTTCACAAAATATAATGACGCTAAACAATTTTGCATGTGTTTGACAAATGAGGTTCATTGTTTCCCAAGAAAACGATATATTTGATGTGAATTGCATTTATTTTAATTGTATTGTCCGGACTGGACTGAAATGGGATATTTGTATTGTGTACAAAAATCTGTCGAGAAAAGCCAACTGCCATGAAACATCTCTAATATAATACCAAAAGGAAATCAAGAAGAGAAGTGTCGTCAAAAAACAAGGAAACGCAGAAGAACGCTAATGATTCCTACTGTTAAATTTCCCTTTCAGATCCTTTGAGAAGATGTACTGAAAATGGCACATGCTACTAGAAAGTGATGGTCAAATATGCATCTGTTTTGTGAACTCTGGATTTTATAAATAACACGTTCACGAAAATACATGCCTATTTTGGAGAACGATTTCGGAGTTTTAGAAAATTCGCTCATGAACAGTGACATCCGAGGCAATAGGGAGCCATGCGCATGTGCGTTTTCCGCTAAAACTCAGAAACCATTCCTGAAATAGAAGTGTGTGAAATCGGGGTACTCAGCAGAGATTAGTAATTGAAATCACGTTCAATAACGTTTGTTTTTCCCACTCATTTTGCTGCACGTCCACAGCAGGTGACGACGCTGACCCCCGATTTCTCCACACTCACGTACATCAATTTGGGAGCTTCTGGGTATTTAATTCGACTTTCTTCTCAATGTTCCCTATTTGAAACGAATAAAGAATAATTATGTACTATATTACGATATTGTCATTATGTGTATATTGTTGATTTAATGAAATAAAAAGTAAATTTAATTTCTTTTCAATTTAGTGCGGGAATATGATAGTAGTTCATCTTTTAAATAGCGAGAGTAAAGGTAAAATGCGTGAGATGTTTGTCCATAATTTATCTAAATAAAATATGAATCTATTTTTTGTTGAAAACCAAAAACCAAACTGACAGATAATAAATTTATTTTGGGGGGGGGAGCGGAGCGGTGAACTATCAATTTTGCTCCATTTAACGTTCTGATCAGCAGAGTATCATATAGGTTCTGATTTACCGCCTACTAAAAAATGTATTAGTGATACGCTACATTTCAATAGTTCGTATGGTACTGTGTTTCATCTTATTTCCTTATAAGTATAAAGTGAAACTGACTGTTTTTTACTTAATTTCTTGCACATTATGTTTTTTTAAAATATACAGTTCTTTTCAGTGTACACATGAAAGATTGGGCGGTTTATGCTTTACTTAGTAATGTTGGTTATCACTCAGAGCCTTCCATTTGTGCAGGCGACTAGTACGATGCCCTCTGGGACTATCATAGTTCTCTCCGTATGTGGCTTCAGCAGTGATGACAGGGCCCGCAACTCTCCTAAAATCAAAAGCTGGGACACCAAAGCTTGGAGGTTGTACTATTAGGAAGCGCTAAGTGTCGCATGGGCTTTGTCAGATATCGGAGTGTGTTGTCTGGACACAGCCTACGTATCGAGATAGGTGATAAGCGGTGTACGTCGCCACGGGAGATGTCACGGGCCACTCTCCCCCGTAAAGGAAATGGAAATGGAAAATGGGATATTCTGCTATTGTGTACAAAAATATGTCCGAGAAAAGCCAACTGCCATGAAACATCTTAATATAATACCAAAAGGAAATCAAGAAGAGAAAGTGTCGTCAAAAAACAAGGAAACGCAGAGAACGCTAATGATTCCTACTTGTTAAATTTCCCTTTCAGATCCTTTCAGAAGACTGTACTCGAAATATGGCAACATGCAACTAGAAAGTGATGGTCAAATATGCATCTGTTTTGTGCAACTCTAGATTTTATAAATAACACTTCACGAAAAATACATGCAATATTTGAGAACGATTCGGGAGTTTTAAAAATTCGCTCATGAACAGTGACATCCGAGGCAATAGGGACCATGCGCATGTGCGTTTTCGCTAATACTCAGAACCCATTCTGAAATAGAAGTGTGGAAAATCGGGTACCAGCAGCAGGATTAGTAATTGAAATCACGTTCAATAACGTTGTTTTTCCCACTCTTTTGCTGCACGTCCCACAGCAGGTGACGACCACACACCGCTGACCCAACCGATGGTGAGCCCCGGACCTGCTGTACAACACCGTCTCCCAGTGCCGGCGCCCGCCGCATCGCCCAACGCCGCCTCCGCCAACTGCCCGCCGCGCGCACACGCCGGCTCGTGCCCGTCGACGACGTCGACTGGCAGAATACCTGACGCCCGTGCGCATCGCCCACGTCGGGTGCGACCAACGGCCACGACGTGCACAGCCCGTCAACTGGTGCCTACCAGCTGACCACGGCGGCACCCCCGCCGCGCCCCCGCCACCCGCCCGTCCGCCAGCCGCCACGCCCCCACGCCGC